CTCCATCTTACTTCTCTAAACCCCCCTGTACATAAATCCTAAACCCTGTGTCTCACCCTCTAATTAGCTAATCTCTTCGCCATTCACCCCGGTGAAGTCCTCTTATCTTCATAAAGGTGTCGTCTCCCGTGTAGGATCAAAGTCCTGCCACCAGACACTTCTGGCAACATTCCAGGACTCCCGGGCCCCCCAAGGGTGGTCTCGGTGGCCCGGCATCTCAGGACTCCGATCCTGAGATCCCACAGTAATTAACATAAAAGCCTCTGTCTGGTCTATTGAATGTGAACAGTATTTTTTTAGTTCCTATCAAGTATAATGTCTAAAACCTCTTGACATAATGCTTCAAATTAAGAAAAAATGCAAACAGGACTGCACATTCAGGCTTAATTTTCATTGAGTTCTTCAAATTATACCATTTTTTAATCTAAAACATACACAGTCACATGGTTTTGCATCACTTTTAAAGAAAGAAGTCAGATTCATTGGTTCTGCCTCATAAAATCACTAAAATGGAAATTCTGACATTTGATTTTTGGATGGCTGAAAATAGATGGATGGATGTTTTTTGGTCAGAAGTTCTAATACTCTTGTATGGCTGATGAGAACTGGGACACTGTTCCTTAGAACAACATCAGCTGCACAGCTGAGTACCTTTCTAACCTTACACCCATTCCAGGGCTCTGCACAACAGAGGCTGGCACCAGTAGAAAGGGCAGCAATGACAGAAGTTCAAGATTCCGTTCTCTTCTGTCTCCCTGAGTAACTAACACCTTCAATATTTAACTTCTATTCCCTTGGTGCTAGTAAAAAAAAAAAAAAAGGTGGCCTTCTCTAGCATCTCTACTCAACACTTGCAACTCATCTTGCAAAAACAGTGTTACAGTCCTGCTCTAGAAAACCATTTCACAAAACCCAAAAAGATTTATGTTTTTGAAGAGCCAAGTTTCTCCTTCAAAGGAGGATTCACATCCCTTCCCTGGTTAATTCCTGAATTATACGAGTATGTTTAAATTTTTCTTCCAAAAGTGACCTATTTTAGGAAGATTTACTTACACAGTTACTGAAGAAGCTGGAATCTATCTGGCTCAGAGAAAGCTTGGTCAGGGCCCCAGAAGCAAGAAATGCAGAAGTAAAGGCCTCTCAGAGGAATACATTAAAATATTTTAAAACAGCTTAAAAATCTTCTCCACAAAAAAAAAAAAAAGATTGGGAGCAAGTCAGGCAAAAAAGGGAGAGAAAAAGAGGGAGAAAGAGAGACAGAAAAGGTAAGTAAACAGAAGATGCATTCCAATTCTTTGAGCATTCAGTATTTAAGACATAATTAAGGCAGAAAGGAAGCAACAAGACATAAAGGAAAGCAGAAAAAAAAGGGAGAAAGACCTTGAGAAACAAAACCCCACCAACCTTCTACTAGCACTCCTGCAGCTTGACAGAGTTATACATAGAAACTTTGTTTTAAAAACATGGTAAAGCAAACAGTGTAATCATAAGCATCCAGACCCAAAAAGGCCATAACAACTGAAGCAAGTTTGCACTGCACATGTACAAGGCAGCAGAAAGGAAAATAACCTATCTGTAGTTAAATGTTTACAGTTACATCTGGAGACATGTATAAATACCTGTGTTGGGCACATATTCTAAAAACTAGTATATTCTTAGTACATTATTTTAAAAAGACAAAAAAAAAACCCCACCATTTCAGTTTTTACTTAAATAAAATTGTTTTACAAGTAGAGAAACCATTTGGTTATGTAGAGGAACATACAAAATAATGATCTTGGCAGATGCATCTTGAACTCCAGCCAATCTGGAGTTCTCCCCTTCAGGTTACTATATTATTTATTTCAAGGAGTACGTAAGTTAAATATTTTGAAATAATTTTAATCAATTTAATTTTAATAGTTTCTCCAATAAGCTAATAGTTTCTGCAGTAAAAGAAATTATAACATATTTTCACATCATATACCACAGTACTGAACTGATAAGACTTTTGTCAATCTGTATTTTTTTAACATCTTTACCTCCATTTTGTTCTGACACAATTTTCTTGACACCTGTTTACAGGAAAACAGGAAATAAGATGTATCATGATCAAATAAAAAATTGTCACATTTATTTTGTTCATACTTAATTCAGATATAAGAATTCAAAAGAACTCTTTTCCTGCATTCAGGGAAGTATAAGAACTGAGTAATTAAATTAACTCTAAAAACTTTTATAGTGGATATTGATCATGAACAATGTTGCACTGTACTGTAAATCATAATATTAGCATCTGGGCTCCTGATTTTCCTTAAAAAGCACCTAAGACTAGTGGTGATTTGGTTTCTCAGTCATCTGGGGAGGGGGGGGAAAGCTGACATGATGAGGAAATTTTAACAATAAAAAGTGCATCAACAAATTAGACACAATTCCAAAGTTTATGTCCCAGTTCTGTTTTAAAGACAACAGCCCTAAGGAAAAAAAAAAACCATGAAATGGCTGCAAGTAACTCCAAAAGTTTTCTTTTCACCAGAAGTAACTACTTCTCCATAGAAATAATACTTAGTGTTTTTAAACACGGATTTTGTCTTCAATCATACACTTAATACTACTAATCTTTGTTATTTCTACTGTTAATATAGCTCTTAAAAAATAAGTACAACAAAAGGGTAAGTGCATCAATCAACAAAGAGCTAAGCTATGTAATAAAATATTTTTTCCAAATATTTTAAAGAATCTCAGTAAAAGGACTTTGCTAAAAATATTTTGCACCAACAGCACTTGGAGATATGAGCTTAACCAAAAGAACTTAAATAAAAAAAATATATGCATGCTTTTCTAAACTACTGCTGAAGGGGTATATTATAAAGATATCTGTAGTGACAGACTGACATGTTGATGCTGTGCATATGGAGTCTGTAATGACATTCGCCACTCTGAAGATGAATCTTGCTGGCACATATGAGAAGAACTTCCTGTGTAGGGCATGTAAGAGTCCCCATCCTAAAATCACAGGAAAAAAAGGACAAGCAATCACAATTGTTTTATATTCAGAGTGATACTTTTAAAAATTCCTGAAAAATGTGAATTCTAAATTAATTTTGAGACAAAATTAATTTATAATTACCTCTTCATCAGAATCTCCCAGCCTCCCTAGATCTAGGCATGGCACCCTGCAAGGAGTTAAAACAATTTTAACAGCAATACATTCCCTTATTTTTTAACTACAATAAAAGCACTGCCTATTAGTTATTATTAGGTCCTTCACAAAAATATCCATGCAACTGGATATGGGCTACTGAGCAAATCTCTATTAGCTACTCTTGCTTCAGCTCAGCAAGTGCCACTGAGCTTCTCTTTCCCAGCAGCAGAGCACCCTGTCAGCTGAAAATGATCTTTTTACTCCCACATTGGCTTCTCTTCACTCCCCAACAGGAGCTACTGCAACATGATCATAAATGGGGGGTGCCCTACTCTTGTCTTCCACAGCACATCCATGTCAGCATTCCTCTATAATCAGTCAACAGCGAGCAAAAGGGAAGCAATTGCTACTTGGGATGCAAATCTTGTGAACTTTCCATAGGAGATTAACACAGTAGAAGGCAACCATATCTCAGTATCTTGTTCTGCTTAAAGAAATGAAAACATCTCCAATCCATCAAAGCATTTCTGTGCCTTCTGCCTTTATTTCAGGTGTATTGCAGAGCACCATGAATACATAATTTTTTATATTTTACCACCGAGATTTGCAAGTAACTCTGTTATATCTTCTTGGAATAAGAGAGCTCCTTATCTTACAGGCTTTTTTTATTAGATAATGACAGACAATACACAGAAATTTGAATGTTTTGACTTTCGTTGGAAGAATCAAAGGTCATAGTCACAAACACTTATAAAATAATTACATGCATTGGCTCTAAGGCATTTCAGTAAACAAAACTGGCTAAACTATCAATCATGGTCCTTGGAAGAGTAGATACTCCTTGTGTGCCAAAGTCATTATAAGGATTTAAATTTTAAAAACACAAACAAAATTTCCCACTGCTTGTAAAAACCCTTCACAACAGTTTCTCTGTATTTTTTACTGTAATACCTGTAAAAGCAGTCAATAGCTAAAATACTGTTTTTCTCCTTTTGACTTTAAAAATATTCAAGCAAAACAATGTATAAATATGTAGCTCTGAGTGACACCCTCTGAAGAAGATGGAGCCAAGTTCTTCTTGGTGGCGCCCAGCAATAGGACAAGAGGCAAAGGGCAGAAACTGATGCACAGGAAGTTCCACCCAAAAAAACCTCCTTCACCACAGGTGACTGAGCCCTGGAACAGGTTGCCCAGAGAGGTTGGGGAGTCTCCCTCTCAAAAACCATCTGGATGCAATCCCGAGCAATGTGGTCTGGGATGACCCAGCTTGAGCAGGGAGGCTGGACCAGATGGACCAGTGGGTTAGACCCAATGTGGACTCTTCCATCTTTACCCATTCTGTAATTAAACCTCCACTCAGCCAAACATAAATCAACTTAATTCCAAAGTAAATAATACATCAAATATTCTACCCCAAATTTAAATCACAGGAAACAAACCTATGATGATAACTTCCATGGAATACTAAATTGCATGTCACTATAAATGCAAATGCATTGAGTTAATAATACACACAATTAAACAAGCTGATCAAAAATAGAAGCCGACTTACTCTGGTGGGTGAGGACTGTGTGTAGCCTGTCTATTTGGTCTCCAACCCTAAAAGAATGACACATTATTACATACCTAGGGGATCCAGATTAAAATACATAGTTCTCCCTTTTCATTTCTCCTTAACTATTTAAAATTAGAGGCTTAAAGTATCTGTCCAACATACTTGACTAAGGCACTACTAACAAGAGGAAAAAACCAAAAACTTCTCACTGAAAGCTAATTCTTACACATCATGAGACTAGCAGACTGAATATTCATCATGACAGTAAGACTTCCAGCCATTAAGAATCTAGACAGCATCCACATCAGCTATTAATAATACATTAAAAATAATGTGTGCTCCTGAGGCTTTGTACCATCACCGCTCACAAGGCTTTAGGTCACATTGTCCTTGTTGGGTGGGAACCAACCCTTAAACCAAAACCACAAGACTGACAGGCAGCAGGCTCACAAGGGGCAGGCTCAGACCCCAAAGAACCCCTGATATTTGGTGCAACTGCTTCATCTCAGCTTTACTATAGCAGTCCTGATGATCATTAGGCAGTTCACTTTATCTATTTTGCAAGGCTGAATACCACACAGATCTCCAAACTCAACTGAGCAAGAACACAGCATGAGAAAAGACTCGAGCCAAAGCATTACCTATCCCCCTATGGCTTTTGAAAACAGCTAGCAGCAAATCCGTAGGGAAGGCTGCTTGGGGCAAGCACAAAGTAACAATTCACCTAACTGGCCTCCCAGTCTGAAAAAAAAATTGTTTGGGAACACTCAGAACCAGGGCTAACATTTTTGTTTTCACACTTCTCAGCTCATAAATCTCAGCATCACAGCCTAAACTGAGCAGAATCCTATTTCCAGCAGTGCTCGAACATCCTTCACGATCTGAGATCGAGCACAAAGCTGTAACTCCTCCCTTGCCATGCAGCCTTTGGCTGCTCCCGAAGCACAAGCTCGGCAACACCACCCTCTAGTGACTCCCGAAGGAGCCCGGGTGCCAGCTGGGAGAGCTCTCGGCACGCAGTGAGCACCCCACCCTGTGGTCACCTACCTAACACCATCGGGGCATCAAAAACAAGGCATCACATCCCACATTTCTCTTTTTTCTGTACTGTTTTAACTGTGGTGAGGCAAAGAACACAGCTAATTCTAGATGCCAAAGCCTTAATTAACATAATTCCTTTTCTAGAAGTCAACAAATCAGAAAGAAAGCAAACAAAAATCATTGTGAACACTGGGGTGAAGCACGTGATTTCAGCATAATTTTAATTTAAGATTTACTTTTGCAAACTACCAAAAATCATGTGAACTAGAGAGTCTAAATTTGGAAACTTAGTTGCACAAGAAAGAAAGAAAAAAGGGATGAGGGATTACAGGAAAAAATCAAAACTATTTCCTTTTACAACCTATTCTAAATGCCCCAAATGTTCTTGTTGTCCACAGGTATTTAATTTTCAAAAATCTGGTTAAAACATTAACAGTAACATTATAACATTGGTGCATTAATGTTCACAAAAGGTCTTTTTTCATTCCAAATCAAACTGAAAAGAAGACCAGCAACTTGGCAAATTCCAAGAATTCCTAATGGGGTCATGCAACAAATAAGGAAGCAAAATGGGCGCTTGGGGGCTGAGGGAGGATTAGCAATTAACTTTCTTTCCTGGACATAAAGTACACAGTATCTGTGAGAACAATCAACTGTTACTAACAATGTTAGTATTTACATGAGCAGTAAGGAAAATAATGACCCTCAGGATCCAAGATTATATTCCTTGGGGCTACAAAAAGCTAGCCCTAAAGCTTCTACTACAGTGAACCTGTGAGGGTTGCACACCTATCTTATTTTAAAGCATAGACTATTAAGAATTCCTGGAAAACATAATTTCCCTCTATACTGAACACAGAGCACTGAGATTCCTTTTTCATGTCAACCTAAAATCATGCCTTTTCAAATTATATTATGGGGGCTGCTTTACTTTATTGCTGTCTTGCAAAACAAAAACACAGACGCACCTGTTGCCAGTTCCACCAATAGCCAGAAACAGCACACACAGTACATGTTCAAGCCTCTGTTGATCTTAACTGCAAGTACTAGTTCATTCTTAAATCCCCCACATTCCAATTAAGTAGTCAGAGTAGCAGCTATTCTTGGATAGCTGTTTATATTGGAATTTCTCACCCTCATTTGAGAAGCTGTCATACTAAACTATCCCTTTCCGACAAAAATAATTATTTTAAAAGGTGTCTATAGAATGGATTTTAACCTCAAACTAAGAAGCTCGTGAAGTATGATTAAAATATTTTTAAAATGCCAAAGTAAGGAAGAAAAACAATCACAAGCCTTCCATTGACTACCTGACATTTCTTCCCCCTCAGTGACAACTCAGCCTTTCTTCGAGGGGATGCAGCAATTCCCTTAACTTCCAAATCCATGCAAATTCAATGGCTGGCAGCTTTCAGAAAAAAACTGAAAAACAGAAAATACTATTAAGAAAAGCATGTATCATTTTATCTAAGTACTTCTGGGGAGAAAAAAGGTACTGCATTAGAAAGAATTTTGGTATTGTCTTAAGCAAGCTATGAAATGCTGTTGGTTTCTCTTTTTCACAGCCTCTTAATTTCAGCCTTTTATTACTAGCGCTTAATCAGATTGTGTTCAAATTTATGTTTTTGCCTCAAGCCTAACTCCCTCCTTTCCCTTACACTTATTGATACATTCTCATCCCAGTATTACTAATTTGTTACCCCTTGGCAACATCCAACCTTTGGTACTCTCTGCTCACACCGCTGCCTGGCTCCCCATCGCTCAGTGCCCTGGGAACATTTCAGGGCTGCCAGCCCGAGAGCTCCAGGCTGCCGTGCCGCCAAGCATTCCTGCTCTGCTGGCGGCTCCCTCCACGCAGCCAGGTTCCAACCAAAAGCCCATCATTCGGATGGCACTGAGCAGTTCCCATTCCCCAGGCACCTTTCCCTTCCCGAGCAGGAGCGGGGCCTGCTGGAGCCCCGCACAGCCCTCCGGCCGACCCTTCCCCAGGGCACGGAGAATGCCCGCGCACGGCCAGGAGGCTCTCCGGGAACGGAGCATCCTCCCACCCGGGGCAGACAGCGCTGTTGTACTTCATGGCGCACACGCTGAGATTACTTTTACCAAACACCAATGCCGCAAAAGGCGGAATAAGCACTATGAGCTCAGCAGCTCCACGGAAATGATGCATTTTCCCAGGAGAAGCGCGGGACGCCGGCGGGCAGGGGCAGTGTCTCACCGGAGCGGTCCCAGCGCTCACGGCTGCCGGCCCCGTCCCGCACCCCCGCACCGTCTCCACGGTGCCCGGCCCGGGACTGCCGCTACAGCAGCGCGGAGGGGCCAATCCCAGCCAGGCCTCGCACCGGAGCTGCGCAAGGTGCGCCCCGGCGGAGCGGGAACCGCAATTCCCGACTGCTCCTGCGGAAATCCCCGCCCGGAGCACGGCCGTGCCTCCCTCCCCGCGCCCACCGCCGGCTCTGCCCGTCCCGCAGCCCCCCAGCACCGGCGGGCGCTTACACAGCGCACGGGCTCTGCCCCCGGCAAACGCCGGCAGCTGGAATCGAGACCTCCGAACTGCGGCGAGAGAGCGCACGCTGCGTGCCTGTAGCCTGGGGCCGAAATAGCGCGATCAGCCCGAGGCAGCTCGGAGCCTTTCGGACAAGGGCTTCCTTCGAGCGGCAGCAGCCTCCGAAGACTCGCGGGGGTGAAAGGCACAGCAGTGATGATCCAAACACTGCCCCAGGCGGGGAAGGGCCCGCCGTGGCCAAGGACACCGGTGCCAGTGCCTGGGAGGAGCGGGACTCACCTGCACCCTGCACACACCTCGGCAGCCCGAACGCCTGACTCCCACTCCATCAATGGCTTTTACTTTAATACGTTAGCTATTTCAAAGAAAAGCCTCAATGAAACTGATTTTTTTTTTTCAGTTTCATTTGTCCTGAATGCCCAGAGCAGCAGCAGTTATTTTCTAAAATCAAACTGCCTCCAAGAACCAGATCTTGGTACTTGGATAGAGCTTGATTTTAGAAAATACCAGATTAACCCCTTCTGTCTTGAGGGAAAAATCTGCCACCTCTTGAGAAACCCTGGCTCTGTAGTCAATCAGTTTTCCAAAGTTAGGCAAAATCTCACTCATGTTAAGGATGTATTTCTGGATGCGCTGCTACTTCCAAGCCTGTGTGATCCAGTTTTAGAACAAAACACATACCATGTGTCTACACCAGAATGAACAATTCATTCCTTTTCAGTGAGTGACATGATAATAAATTTAGTCCCTTTAAATACAGTACATTTCCTCCATAAAAACAAATTCACATGCTATTTTCCTGTAAGAATAAGGATGCCAGAAGAGTTCAGGCATCATAACTGGCCTAGTTAAAAGCGATGCAATTATAAAACAGAAAATGTAACAGTGCCATACTATGAGACCTACCTCTAAGGCAATTCCTGTCATTAAAGGCTGGCAGTACCATAGGTGTGTGCATTAAGTGAACAAAAAAGTTATTAAATATTGACAGGGTGGACAAAAATGATTCTGGCAAAGGAAAATCATGCTTTTCCTAATACTGACCTAAAAAGGCAGCTATCAAGTTGGCATAATGTATTGAAAAAAGATCCAAGACCCCTCAGTTCTTGAATGGTACATAGCAACACATCTGTTAATTCTGATGTAAAAAAAAAAAGGGTATGGAAATTAATCAAGAGGTCAGATTCTATGGTATTAAAATAAATGTGAAACAGAGATACAGTACTAATGGGTATCAATCAGTTATTAGACAGCTGCTGAGTTTAACAAGTGACAAGTGGGGAAGAAATTAAGTGATCCAGTGTAATACATTTGGTATTAAGTTGACATACAAAACTAAACATCATTATTCAGGAGACTGCAAATTTAGACATCATTATTCATCATTATTTTCATATAGTGTCCATGGATGAATTTCTCTCTCCAAATAAAGAAACTTAACTATGAATGAGTATCAAAGACTTAATGCATACTGCTTTTCACACTCCCAGAGAAAATTTTTCCACCAAGAGCTGAATTCATCAGTGCATGCTCTTTAATGAACTCAAGAAAGTCACAGTTCAAGTGGCATAATGCTTTCTAGTTACAAAACATTTATGAAACATCTATTCTTTATAGTCTCAACTAGAAGATATTCTAATATTTTAGTGTAGCATCAGATATAATTACAGTGCATTATATACAGAGTACAGAAATATTTTTATAGGGAAAAAATAAATAGAAAAAATATGTAAACATCCTGAGTAAAATTCTGCTGCCACTGAAGTCAGTTACAGAATTGTCATAGATATGAGCAAAGGCAGTATTTCACCTCTCTTTTTAAAGCATATAGCAGTGCACATAACTTCATTTCAGTTTAAAGTGCATACAACATTATAAGAAGAATTCATAAGCTTTTGGAAGCTTTACATATGCAGATTCCATTCACATCTATTGCGTCTCCTCAGTCCCATCTCTTCTGATTCAATGGCATCTTTGCTTATCATTTCTTCATCTTCTACAACATCTGGCTCCAACTGATGTATTTCACATTCACTATGTAATTCATGCTCTTCTATTTTGTAATCATTATCAATATCCTCAAGCAAATCTCCATTACAGTCATCTTCTCTGTTGTCCATTTCTTTCTCTTGAGAATGTTCGGCAAACGACTGAATGAGATCTTCAAGTTTCTCATCACAAATGTGTCCAAGTTCTTAAAATTCAAAAAAAAAAATCAAAATTAAAGTTTACTAGTAAGGCTCTGAATTTCAGGGCCAGGTTAGGAGTATTTTAAAATTCTTTTTTCTCTTTTATTAAGACTCGAATAACACAAAAAAATCACCAAATTTCTAATGGACCATTCTTAACATTTAAGACTTCTCTTGGGCTACCATGCAGCTCTTGAAGTCTCCAGTTGAAACAAACATACAATTTGCTGTTTAGTGTTTTATTGTAAGCATTACTCACAGCCTCTGTGGTCCCCAAGTGGAAATCCTTTGGCTGAAGTTACTCCAGTACTAACAGACTACTTAGGAACTGATGTTCCAAAAGCCTGTTTTATCAAAAGAGAATGTGACTGTATGGTCCATCCCAGTTCAATGTCTTGAGCAGCTATTCTTAAATAAATCATGATGTATCAAAAATTTGAAATTGGATACATCTCAAATAAGAAGAATGGTATTCCTCCAGAATAAAACTAATTCCACACAAATTACCCAAGATTCAGAAGCTGAACATTATTATAGTAAGATCTACTTATTCTTTTAAAATATAAACTATTTAATTATCTATCTGTCTAAAAATTAAATTACCTTTCATCTTGTTTTCTGATTTATCCAATCCACTTTCTTTCATCAGTCGTCTAATTGATTGGAGCTGTGTCATTATTTCATCTTTCTGCTCACAAGCTAAAGCATTGACACTAGAAAAATAAGACAAATGTTAACAGCTGAAAGATTATCTTGGAAGGGAGTGTTTGGTAATAATACACTCATTGCAATATTTCTTTCTGTGCATAAGTACCATAGTGAAGTTTGTAAAATGTTTAGGTCAAGCTTTCCTTTGAGAACTGTCTCTTGAGAAGTGGGGAGGCCATTACATCACACAGCTACTGAATGTCACTGACCTCTGGCTTTGGAGCCCCAATGGCCAAGGTTGAGTAATGACTACTGAAAGTAACAATTATCCAAAGTTGTACTACTATCCATAGTAATACAACAATGCCCAATGTAGATCTTTAGAGTTTGAAGGCTTTTCTCATTTAAGGTTTTTTAACTTTCCACCCCACCACTACTAGAAATTTGTTAGGCAAACTGGCCAGTGACTTTTCTGTTTAATAGTTTCAGCACATATCCAGTTCAGAAGTACACTGCAGAAACCATCAGGAAATTCTGCATGTTTTAACCTGTGTTTCATGAAGGATGTCAGTCTAGAAATTAACTCCAAGGATACTTTTATTTCTGGTAGATGAGTAAGGCTCTAGCTTCTTAAGAACAGAACTTCTCTAAAACTACAAGGAGTTTTTATATTACTGATTCCTTTGTCCTAGTAAAATAGACAAGTTCTATTTCACTGGAATACACACACTTCACAGATTCATTTCAAAACACAAGAGATAAGCAGCTATACCTTGATAACTATTTTTACTTATAACTACATCTAAAAGAAGAAACTCACTCTGCTACCAAAATCTATTTCCCACAAGAGCTTTCAAATGTTACTGAGTTTAGGTATATTTTCACTATTAGTTTCCTTAGTCAATATTAAAGTTCATCTTGTTAAGCCACACTAACACGACCATGTCTTCTGCATTTATGTTTGGTGAACAAGAGATATGAGGTGTCTGTGAAAAAGTTCACAAATTACAGAATTGGTACCACCTGTAAAAAGCTACAGAAACAGTAAGCAATCAAAGAAGGTTCTTAAAACTTTCCTTACCTATATATAAGGATCATTTTAAGAATTCTTCGTTAACATTTTGGTGAATTTCAATATACAGGAAACAACCATGAGATTTTTTTAGAAACACTCACCAGTTTGAAAGTGGATCCAACTGAGTCAATAAAGAATTTAACATTTTCTCTGTCTGTGCTAGATGTTGCTCCAGTTCTAAAAGCTGATGCTCTAACAAAAACAAACACAGACAAAAACAATACAACAAAAAAAGAGGGAAGTGTGAGGGAAGGGAGAGAGGGATGAGGAGAGAAAGAGCATTGTAAAAATGTCTTTACAATATCATTAGGATATTAATTTATATTTTTCACTGGACAGATTAAAAACCAGAAAGCTTCTTTCATAAAAAAAATGTGGCAATATGAAAAGGGAGTGGTGGGGGTAAGAACAGAAGCCTTATTATGTGTGAACAGAAGTCCCATCCGCCCAGTAACCTATCCCCAACAGTGCCCAAACAGAGGGCACTTTGTAGAAACTGAGCAAGAATGTGCAGCTCACCTTCCCAGTCTCAATAACTATGCAGCTGCAAGTACTGTATTTATACATAATATGCTTTCATGTGTTTTCCTATTCACACCTTACAAATATATTCAATGCTAAATGCACTAGAATCAAGAGAAGTCACTCCTCCTAAAATACAATTAAACTTAGAAGAAAGAAGAATGCAACACACAAGGATGATGAGTAGGCTGTGTGGCAAATCACTGCTGAGCCTCATTACAGACTTGGTGTACACAGACACCAAAAGATGCTGCTAGTTGTTCAATTCACTAAAAATGTGTCTATAAAAGAGAAGAAAAGGTATGAAAACAGCATCAACTTTGAATGTTTGTGATAGGTTTGTCCTTTGGCCTAGAAATCATAACTGGTCTATTAATTGTTTAGCCACACTGTTCCACTATCAATATGGTTCAGTTCTAAACAAGATCATTAACTTATTTTTAAATACCTTATTTATTTTTATTTAATTATATCCCATTTAAACTGAAGAAAACTGAACAGATCTTAAGTGAGAAAAACATCAGACATTTTAGAGACAGAATCATGCTGCATTACTACAGCTGTTTTAAAGAGCATTACATCTGGAGAATTAAAACAAATCTCAAACAAGCATTTCAAACACACAGAATAACGAAGTGGGTATTTGTAGATTTTTAAGTGCTCTCAGTAATTTGAGAGATTGCCTTCATTTAGCTCGATTGCATCAATGAAAACATGTTTTGTTCCAGTAGGAAATAAGCATTTTTGTTGAACATGTGCATTCTGAATGGGTCTTACCTGTTTCCTTTGCCTTGTCTTCTGTACTTTTTTCCTTTTTGGAGTGACTTTCTTCATGTGACTTCATCTTTAAAAAATACAATCAGAAGATAAACAACCTCATCACTATTTGTGTACTAAAAACAAAACTGCATTTAGAACTTTAATGAAAGTAAACAGCAACCATAAAAATGAGCTACATTAATGAAACTTTTCTTCTGTGATGCCTCATCTAGTCTTAAACTAGCATTTCTGATTTTAAGCAAACACAACATGACTGGCAAAAGCTCTAAAAGAAAGCAGTTGCTATTTCAAAAAGAAACACAAGAAACCTTCTAGGTTACTGGATCCAGTCTTCTATCATTAATTATGATATAGAATTTATTTCTTAAAGTAATAAAGATACAATTATAAAAATATTTACATTTTAATCCCACAAGCCCAAGTGTAAAGAATTGTAATGCCCAAAATATGGTTTTCATGATTTTTAAATCTTGTACTAAACTGGGCAGCCTCTATACTCATTTTCCTAAACTGTGATATTTTTCTCATACACAAGATTAACGTGAACTGACTCCAGAAATGAGCATGTTGTCTCCAGTCTTGCTCCTGCTCATTTTTATTTTCCCTGAGGGCATGCAATGATATTCCAGGTGTGCTCTCAGCTTTGTGAATCTCTTATTATAAATAATACATTTCAAGACTGATTCCTTTTAAAAAACAACCGATCACGTGCTCTCCTTTTTGAATTTACAAACAGTAGAAAAGGTATCCCACAACATGAATAAACCTGTATGTTGCAACTGCACGATCACATGAGAAGTCCAAACAAAAGGTCAAGTCTACTCACTGTTCCATCTAACTGCTAATCTAAGATCACTGCTCTGCAGGAATTGTCTGCCTCCTTCCCATGCTCAATCTCATTCTGAAGAATGAAAAGGAAGTGGAACACTGATGAGACTTAGGTTACAGACTCAGGTAGCAGCACTGTTCAGGTTCTCAGATTCTCATTTGAGGCTGCAGGGTGAGTAAGATTCTCACTTTTTCAAGCACCTAAGCCAGAAGCCTTCATACAGAAGAATTAGATATGCTAACATTTTAACTTTGGACTTCACATTCAAAGTCAAACAGAGCAAGAAATGGCTTTTGGACAACCCTATACATGGGCTCAGAATTAGAAAAACAGACAAGCCAAGAATTTACATTTCCCCCTAACTACAATAAT